AACCCCCCAAAAAAGGAAACAGCAATTTATGGGACACGTCGTGCTGCACCATATAACATCACAGACGAATTAGTTCCAGCTTGCAATCTTGTCATGCTTCCCCTTTGCACAGAACTCCAGCCTGAGCTCCACATTTTTTGAACCAAGTGGCGGCCCATCTCTTCGGAGGCTTCTTCGATTTCTCCTCAGCCATCCACGAGCGGAAGATCGCTGGGTGGTGAGACCCCAGCAACACGACCTCAAGCGTTGTGAATAGTAAGGGCCGCTTGGCCGAATTGCCCCAACGCAGACATTCATAAACAATCAAAACACGGGTGTAGTGTTGCGGCCCATAAGCAACCAACACCAAGTCAGTCAAACAAAGAATATCTTCCAAGTCCCCAAGTTCAACAGCTCGTTTGCTGCCAAAACCATCCTTCCAAACTCACCGACCTCCTCAAGCAGTCTTGCCATCTCCTCTACCGAGGCGCCCGTGGCATGGAGGCGACCGAGCCCACCGAAGAACTGGAGCGGCAGCGTGGAGCGGACGTGGCGGAGCGGGGCCTCTCTTTCTCACGCCTGACGGCAGTCGGTCGGGCTTTCGGGGAGTTGATGTGGCAAGGCTGCCAATGCCTTGCTGGGCTTTCTACTGTCATAGAATGGATGAAAACAAAACATACAGTTCAGAACATACTATTTCATTTTACAATTATGTATAGGCATACTGTACTGTACAGGTGGAATACATTCATATCTGGCACATCTCCTTCGTCATATTAAGTATAATGTAACTGTAATATCGAATCTTATTTAACCTTCATTTGTAACTTCTACGGGCTAGTTTCCAAGGTGCAGTCGTATGTAATGCATATAGCCCGAGCAGTTTACACCTCTTACACATGACCTGGATGGCAAGCAGGATCCAACCCCCGCCCATCCGCTGCCATATGGCTCTGTAGATCTGCACACAATATCCATCATATCATAACTTGTTGACCTTCTTTTGACACCAAGAGAGAGAGAGAAAGAGAGAGAGAGAGACACAAAAACAACTGACTATCATTGATGCCACCACCCCGACCTCTGTGTCTGCTCAGGCGAAACCCGCGGCTTCACCGGCGCCTCCAAATGCACAATGTGAGGTGGGTGGTTTCCCAAAGAGGAGACCACCACGAAACCAGAATGAAACATGCGAGCTCTATATGTGACATAAAATGCCCAAGTAACTATTTGATGACAGGGGATTGACCTTTATAGATTCTTATTGACCTGGGTGCAAAAGGGACACTACTGTACCAATAACACTTCGGTTCTGACGAGTGTTCGTCAGCTGCCTGCAAGGTGGCCTGCTGCGCCTGGCCAAGCAGGGCTGAAACGATGATGGGCAAAATGGCTGTTGACTCCAGAAACCAAAAACAACATGGAAACATGTTGAGATGAGCAACTCCTCTCAGAGTGAAAGTGGACACTTTGCCGGCTTGACCATCATCTGTCTGGTCAATTGTTGCCGAGTCTGCATATCTATGATGTGGCCTGGGCCAAGAGGCGGGCGACGAAACATATCGAAGTGATGGAAGCTGGTCGTCCAATTGCCGCGTTCACGCTCACAAGAAGCAACCATTAAATAGAATAGATCATGGCAGATGCTAGATGACCATCTTGCATGCACAAGAGCGTTTACAAGAGGATTGACTACTGTAGAGAAGCTAGTTGCTGAAGCTGTTGCCTGGCAAAGCATCAGTTGCATCAACTGCATCAACTGATGTTGGCCTGTGACTTCTGCAGGCAAGCAGCTGGTATCATGCCAAATCTTGCGAACATCTGCCATTCCTGTGCTCAGGGCATGCGAAGGAATCGAACGAATCAACTGAACTTGATGCGAAACGAGCCAGAGGTCGAAATGGGAGGCATTCGGAGGCACCGATACAGTAGCAAATGCTTCCTTGGCCTAACAGGGCCTTCGCATTGCTCTCCATGCAGTTTTGAAAATAAAACTGGCTTGCAAACCGTGATTGTTCCTGTAGGAGCTCAATTGATAAAAAAAATTGAAAAGAAAACATTCTCAGAATTATATATCCCCGTGGCCCATGCACCACAGCCAGCCGCCTCTGGACATGCCTGGGAACCACCATGCCTCAAAATGCTGTTGTCATCCGGTGTGGCTAGTAAATCAACAAGGTATGATGCTGCTGCGTTGGCCAAACGGGACCAACTGCAAGTCGACAACCAAGCCCTAGTGATTCCAACGAATCAAGCGTGCAACATTGAGAAACATGATGAAACATGTATTACCGCCCTCAGCTTCAAGCAAACTGAGGTATTGGAGTCGGTTCACACTTGTTATGAATTTGTGAAGTTTAAAAAACAAGAAAGTTTGCTAATCTCAAATCTCGTACTTGAGGATACTTTGAGAATCTTTGGGACAGAATCTTTGGGACGCAGTTTGGCCATGGTAGACCAACATCGACCAATGCAACTAGCCAACCTGAAACGAACCACCGCTGCGAACCGGTTCTAGGCCAAGCTACACCACCAGGATCTGACATGCCAGTGTCTGGACTGTGCGTGGCATGGATGGCTGGATTGTACAGCACTTCCCCATGTCTTCCTGGCACAAAGCGAGAAAGGAGCAAGGAAGAAACTGAAGTCCATGAAATGAATGTGTTACGTTGCTTGCACAAACCTTATCATCCAGCCACCTTTGGGTGTAATCTCTTAAACACAACTCCGGCATAGTATAGAACATTAATGCACATCATATTGTGTGCCGTCCTGGTGCCACCCATGGTTTGATGCTCCTGGGAGCTGCGGCACTGCTGAGCTGTGAAAGCCATGCTCAAGACTGACATGAGGATTGTTTCTGGAGACTCTTGAATGAATCTGATGTGTTGATTCCAAGCCCCCAGCTTTTGCCACGTGCATTTTAGCAACTGTCTTCATCATATGGACTGCTAGCAGCTAGCAGCTCCTGGTGGGCAAACTGCCACTGCTCAAGCTGCGGGGGGGCGCCATCTGTGACGGTCTCAGGCTTGCAACATCGAAGACCCTCCAGTCAGTGGACCGAAAACAGGCTAAATAGCTGGACTGTTCACTATAGACCTGTTGGAGACGCAGTTCCTGTGGCTTTTGGTTTGGCAATGATCTAGATCGCACGGCTGTGGACTTGGTTGGGTATGTAGGGATGATCGGCCAAACAGTTCGTCAGCAAGCAAAACAGGTAATTAGTAATGTAGTCATTGTTTGTTTGTTGGCTGGCTATCTAGCGTCATACACGGTTGTTCCTCGGAGCGGCTTGGACCTGGATAATCTTTGAGCCTGCAATTGAGCACATAATGAACACTCTGATGAGGGGATATCAAGCATTTGTAACCATTGACATGCGCCGTGTCTCAAAATTGCTCCTCGACCACTACTGCTCTGCAATTTCTAAAATTCAGTCAGTACCGTCAGTACCTAACATCGTTCATCGCGTGATGCTGACTATCCCCTTGAGTATTGCCCCAAGAAAACAATCTTGAAGCTCAGCCAGTCGACATTGGCCAACGGCCTATCAATAGCTTGCTTCTTCTCTGCTTGCCTTATAAGCGTGTCGGCATGGAGATGGCACAAATATCAGAATGATTCACAATTGGAGTTGAACGAGGGGATTCACTGTCCAGACTGGACATGTGCCGCATCTTCTCGAAGCTGCAGGCCTGGTGACATGCCAAGGAGTTCGGCAAACATTCATCTGAACACACTCAGGTCCGGTTCAGGGCTCTCAGCGCTGTGTGCTGCCAAGTTGTTCAGCCAATTGGATCCTACTGTCCGATACTTCAAACACAAAGCGAAAGTAACTACCGGCGGAAACCCTCCACCTCCACTTGCTGATTGAATATTACTATTCAGTCTTATTAGGCGCTGGATGGTGTTGGTATCCACTCATCCCTTCAAAACTTGGTGAGTATTGCTATCCTAACAGCACTCTCACTCAATGCACCTAGTGACCTAGATCGTTTCATGTTTGTTGCTTGTCGTGGTGACATCACTATCTCCTTGATAAAAAGCTAGCAATCTTCAACCTTCTGTCTAGGCGTCCCTACCTGAAAGCCCTGCAGGCATCGATGTTGAAAGCGCCGGAGCAAGCTGCAGGTGCCGCAGTGCTGTTGCTGAGGGCGCTGTGAGGGCCTTAGGGCTTTCGAAGTCTGATGAATTGCACAGATAACTGCAGGCTTCCATCGGAAACCGTCCCTATGTCGGAAATAAAGCGTCAGTTATAGATTGTCTCCAACAAGTTGCCCTCTGTGCAGAAACTGTGCTGCCTGCACCTGGCGAGCTCGGGCTTAGGATCGCTTTCTTTGCTTCTATCTTGGTTGAGTTCTTCCTTGTGCCAGAACAACTCCCTCTTCAAGCATCTCAATTTGGCATGGGAGATAAAGCTCAAAGGGTCGCAATCAATGGCCCAGAATGGCCCAGATCTGCTGATGCCCCAAGTCCAGCACCAGTGAGGTTCGCAGCAGCTCTGCACATGAAAGCGTGAAGAAGCTATTTCAATTTCTTTCTCCAAGAGAACGGTCTCGGCACCTTTTGGCGCTCGCCAGCAAGTGCCTGGTACATCATAGACTCCGCTGAAACTGGGCTAAATCAGAACTGATCGCTGGCATAGATCACACCAGGCACAAGCTGCCCTTCTAAGCTGCTAAGCCCTACTTATAAGTTTCAGGCCTGCATCAATTGATCGTTGCCAATGGCTAAATGTCCACTGGTTGTTAATTGGCATCTACTTGCACTCCAAGGATTGTGAGCTGCTGCAGGCACAACACAGTGGGCGTGCGCTGAAACAGGTCCATTTCGCTCAAAGGCGAAGTTGCTGCGTCTTAACCGTGCGGCGCCCAGCAGAGTCCGCCATGGCGCGCACAAGTTAGATGGGAAACAAACACAGCAACCTCAATTAGAGGGGCGGACTATGCCAGGAAAATGGAACACGCTAAAGGACTTTATAAATGGATTTGAATAGACTGAATGAACAAATGCAGTCAGTCTCATGACGTCAAATGCCCTTCAGTAGCTGGGACGGACCAGGAGTCTTCAGCCGGTTCAGGAGACCTCCTCAAGCCACGGCGGAAGGGCCTCTGGCGAAAGCCCTTGCTCAAAATCGCATTGGGAAGCATGAAGGCAGCCACTGGAAGGTCGGGCTTGAAGCCAATCTTCAACACAATGGTAGGTTCGTGCTTCCACTCCACAGCGGTGAGGATGGCCTGGGTGCCATGGGCCAAAATCACTTCACTGCCAATCTGCAGCTCCTTGGCTTCCACGGTCCGGTTTCCAGGAACCAGGATCCGATGGTCAGGGCTCACCACCAGGCATGCAGGACCGGCCTGGAGCTGAATGACGGAATCCACTTGATGTTGCTCAGGTGGGTAGGCCACTTCAGTGAAGCGACCATTGGCCGCGACGACCTGGGCACCCTGGAACAACTTGCGAGCAGGTAGCAGGTCCTCCTCATCTTCTGCCAACACGGTGAAATATGCATTCGGGAGAAAGCAGCAAGTACACATCGAATCCACATGAATCCAGGAATCAGCAGAGCACTCGGAGGAGTCGCTGGCAGCCTCACATGGTAGTTGAACACTTGGCAGTGCAGCACTGTGGCAGTGAGCTGCAGCTGCCATCCCGTCTTCAAGCACCTGCCCGCATCCACATGGTTGTCCTCCTGGAGTATCTGGAGTTGGATTCCCTGGAACGACCTAAGGATGGCCTTCAACTCGTCGCCAAAACGAATCCATGCTTTGCCCGGGTATAGCTCCATGGCTCTCTTGCAGTCCTCCAATGCCGCGTCACATTCGCCAAGAGCTATCTGGGCAGCGAAGCGATTGAGAAAACAGTTCGCACCGTTTGGATTCAGCTCAATGGCCTTGTCGTAGTCCTCGATGGCCGCCTCGTGTCTGCCAAGCGCATTCTTGCAGTAGCCACGCTTGTTGAACGCTTCCGCATATTTGGGATCCAGCTCAATGGCCTTGTCGTAGTCACAGTCCTCCATGGCTGCCTCGTGTCTGCCAAGGTCGCTCTTGCGGGTGCCACGGTTGTTGAACGCACCCGCTTCTTTGGGATCCAGCTCAATGGCCTTGCAGTAGTCCTCCATGGCCGACTCGTGTCTGCCAAGGGCACTCTTGCAGGTGCCACGGTTGTTGAACGCACCCGCATCTTGGGATCCAGCTCAATGGCCTTGTCGTAGTCCTCAATGGCCGCCTCGTGTCTGCGAAGGTCGCTCTTGCAGTTGCCACGGTTGTTGAACACAGCCGCTTCTTTGGGATCCAGCTCAATG